GATGTTAACTGTGCTGGTCAACATTTCAGGTAAGAGTTATCATTATACAGTATGTAAATTTCTATTCTATTAAAATGCGATAAAATAAGTTAGATGGTGAGAAAAATAGATTAAACATTTAAATCCAGAAATCAAAATATTTTAATTTGGCAAAGTGGCATGTTTAAACAATTCAGATACGTGCGTTTTGCTATCTATATATTAGTGTTATACTAATGAGTCATGTGACTAAAAGTAGCCAAGAAAAATGCGGAAAGCAGATATTTAGTAAAATAAATTATACAATTAGGCTTAATTACCTATAGATTTTTTCTATGCATTATGCAAATAGACAATTTATGCATTTATAATTAGTAACATGAATAGGAACTACAAATTGTATGCAGTTAGGTGGTATATGCATTTAGACAGTATGCATTTAGACAGTATCGACTGTATTTATTTATTATTATTGTTATTATTATTACAGTATTATAAAACAATAATGATAACTGATTCTGGCTAAAATTATGCAGATCAAATAGGTCATTTCACCAAAATTATCATAGTTGTTACACCTGATAGGTTACATGTTTCAGATCGATTTGATTGGCTGTTTAGATCATTATTTCAAATGATCTGCAAATTTGATCAGAATTAACCGATTTTTTGGGGTCTGATTGATAAAAATCGAAAAAATCAGCCCATATCGATATAGATCAATTATTTCAGCCTCGGTGGGAGGCTAATATGATTTACAAACAACAAATGTTTTGAATTTTACTGGTTTTACTTTAGCATCTATTTTTAGACTTAACTGCGAACTACCCTTACATTATCATTATATACCATAAATCGCTATACACAAGACCCGGGTCTCTTACATTCCACCAAAAAAATTAATTAGTAAAAAAAAGAAAATAATTAGTAAAAAATGGGGGTGGGTCTGATATATAAATAATGTTATACTGATTCCATTTAATTTTATTTAAACAAATCTTATCATCTACATGGGTTCTAGATCTTCAATATAAGTTATAAAACTAAAAGCAAAATATTAAATTAAATATATGATCTGTATAGCGATAATAATAAACTTGTTTTTTAAGTGTTTATTAACTTTAATATAAATATTAATATTTTGTATTTAATAAAAAAGGCTCATTGTGACGTTAAGAAATTCTCTTGTCAAGAAATATTACAAAGTAGTGCTTTAGTATAAAAATTAAATAATAAACTAATCAAAGTTGGTCAAGCCATTTTTTCTTTTAACTCAATTGCCATGGATTATAATCAGATTATCAATTTTTTACTGATTTTGCAGAATTTGAAGTACTATAAAATATAATAATGTGATTGGTTAATCTTTAATTATAATAATGTAATCATTTTTTTAATAATAAAGCACTTGCTGGAGATGTACATACCTCTCTTGATTCATAATATCTAAAAAAATCTCTTGAGAAACATATTCTAAAAAAGTCACTTATTATATTATTTATTATAACTAGCATTTATTTAAATTAAAAAAAAATCATATAATTACCATTGCTAATAGTTTTTGTTGAATATGAAGTTTCTATCAAAATATATAATAACTTGTCTATTTTGTTATTTGAATTACGTATGTTTGATTTATTTTCATACCAGTAATTATATTATCTAGTGCATTCTATGTAACATCGATGCAGTTGATAAATTAGAATTAATAGCAAATAATTGCAACTTTTATGATTTTATAAAATAAAATAAAAATCATAATTAATAATATAAAGACACCAAATAAGATAAGCACATAAATAGAAATTGAATGATCTGTAGTAGATTGGATAGTAGTAGTGTTAGAAGCTAGCTTATTAGTAACAGATGGAGTAATGATTATGGAGACAGTTTTTGATTTATTAGAAAGCACATAACTATAGATTGATTAAAGAGGAGTCATTAACAATATTGGGAAATGAATTCTCTTTAGCAAACTTACCTACTAGAACAATCAGTGCATTCGATATTAGTGCAACAATGACTATTTCTATTCTTAAAAGAACAGCAACCATATAGACAAGAACCATAAAGACAAATAAGCCCAGAGTAACATTTCCAGACATCACTTTGATCAGGACAACCTAAAATAAACCTTTGTAAATTTAATTCAAATTATAATACTTGCCAGAAAGTTCAATGCCACAAAAATGGCCAGTGACATTTGAAGGGTATATACAATGTTGAGGATTTGAATAGTTGCAGTCAGAAAAAGTGTCAGAAATAAACATTAAATTGAAATAATATATAAAATGAAAAATCCCTAATTTAGCAAATATATTATAATATCTTCTCATTTTTTATAATTGAATTCTTTAATAAGTTTATAGAAATTTAATGCAGATAATTAGCTAGTCAGTATTTTTTTTTTCTTTTATCCAAGATTGATAATATGTCTCGTTTGAGAGAGTTGGTATTTAGTGATGCTGGTAAAACTAAATCAGGGTGGTGAAATGATTTTACTATTTCACCAATCAGTATTGGTGTAATTGGTAATTGGTGAAATTGGTAAATTTGTGAAATTGATGAAATAGTGAAATGGTGAAACAGTGAAATAGTGAATGGTGAAATAGTAGTCATAAGGTCTGCTGTACCAAAGTAGAAATGAATAGATATAGGTGTATAATTTTGATAGTGTGGCATCATGGATATTGTCATGTATCTTGTACATATCAATATTGATATCAATAATAAAGAAAAAATAATTAATTATACTATATGGGATGATGCACTTTATTTGGGATTAATGAAAATGTATAATTATAATATATATAACGATAAAGAAAATAATAAAAAAGGAAATTTTCGGTCAATGCTTTAAAATTTAGTCATGATTATACGTGGTATAGATCAATTTCATGAATCATTTTATTGACAGTAATTTTATTGATAAAGCTTGGATGATAGGGTTGACCTGATAAATTGTTAGTCGATGAATCTTGCAAAAACCTTAACTATGTATGTGCATAGCTTAGTC